GGTTCATCGTCACATCACTCCACATTAGACTTCAAGCCCAAAAGTTTTGCAAAGATTCAACCTTCAAAGCCTCTAATGGATGGACACAAAAGTTTATGAAAAGGCATGGACTTGCAATACGCCAGAGAACAAAGATAGCACAGAAGCTGCCAAATGATTTAGAAGAGAAGATCGCTTCATTCCATACCTTTATAATCAACCAACGCAAGCAGATTAATTTTGAACTTTCACAGATAGGCAATATGGATGAGACCCCCATGTGTTTTGACCTACCAGGCAACAGGACAATTGACAGCAAAGGGAAGCACACAGTCCTGATTAAAACCACAGGCCATGAAAAAACTCATTTTACGGTTGTGTTATCCTGTATGGCAGACGGTTTTAAACTTAAACCAATGGTGATTTTTAAAAGAAAGACTATTACAAAATGAGTTAAATTTCCACCAGGTGTCGTGATCCATTGTCATCCTAAAGGATGGATGGATGAGAAGGGCATCATTTTATGGTTAAATAAAGTTTGGAATTCTAGACCAGGCGCACTACTGAAGAAATCCATGCTTGTATGGGACCAGTTCCGCTCACACCTGACAGACACTGTGAAGGATAAACTGAAAAGTCTAAAAACATTTCAAGCTGTGATTCCAGGTGGACTAACCTCTATTCTTCAGCCACTAGATGTTGTTTTAAACAAACCCTTCAAAAACAGAGTCAGGGAAAAGTGGATTACCTGGATGAAATCCGACGACAAAGAATTGACTGCAAAAGGAAACCTCAAGAAACCTGGCCTACCTCTCGTGACATCCTGGATTAAAACATCATGGGAAGACATGCCAAAAGAAATGATCATCAAGAGTTTTTTAAAGACAGGCATCAGCAATAAAATGGACGGCACAGAAGACGACCTGCTGTGGAATTCAGACTCAGAAGAAAGCGAAGAAACTGGAGAAACAGATGTTCCTGCCAACTGGGACACTGATCATAAATTAACTCAAGAAGAATGGGAACAACTCTTTAGTGTAACTGATGATGAATCTGACTTTGAAGCATTTTAAATAAATATTGTTACCGATAATTTATAAAGCCATAACACAAGTATCAAATGCAACAGTTATTTACTAAAAATAGTACCGGCGTGCACAAGTTGTTGCAAACAGTGAATGTTACGAACCAGACTCGGCTCTTTTTCACTTTGTTTTAAAATATGGCTAAAAATTAGCTTTTAATCCCCACGCGCAATATGTGCACACGCGCAATATGAGCTTATTTATCGGGTACTTGTTTTTCAAATCTCATAGCAAAAGTGTAACATACCAAATCTCTCTCGTGTCCCAGTCCATTTAAATCAAAACGTTTATTTTTGTTTTTTGTTACTTGTATATTATTTTAAATTCCTAAGTTTCTGTTTAAAATTGTTTTTAATCCAAAGAAGAAGATAAACTCATCAGGTGCCAAATTAAGCTCACAGTTTGAAGATCTCTAATATTCATAAAGAGGTTAAACTGCACAGTTCCAAAAGTGATTAGAAAGTGAGTTTGCTTAGTGTTATATAAAAAGCTCTGCCACTGCTGAGAACAAAGCTGTCATCTCCCTCGGCTTCCAGATCTCAAATCTATGGGAAACCAATGTCTCCTCACAAAGAGTTGCCATTCATAATACTCATAGGCAATTTCCCAATTTCTGCTCCAGAGAGATCCAAAGAACTTGTAGAGAGGT